AACAGCAGCACCACGAGCAGCAGTGCAGCCACCAGTGCAGCCACCAGCGCAGGCAGCAGCAGCCTGCCCTGCGGCCGCGGGCGTCCTGGGGACCGTGGATGGGGATCTGCAACACGGGTGGGTGGATAATGATATAGAATATCCTATAGAATAATGGTGTGCAGGTCAATGTCCTGGGAATTCACACAGGGATGGTTTCACCCCCATGGATACGGTGGGAGAGCGGAACTCAACCAAAGAATTGTGAGGATTCACCTTCATGAATTCATGAAGTTTTGAACTTCATTTTTAGGATACAATATAGTTAATGACATAAAATATGTTATATAATGATATATAGTATTATATATAATTTGCTGATAAGTGTCCTGGGAATTCAAACAGGAATGGTTTCACCCCCATGGATACAGTGGGAGAGCGGAATTCACCCCAATCAATTGTGAAGAATTCACCTTAACGAATGCAAATAATGAAGTTTTGAACTTCATTTTGAAGATATACTATAGTTAATGACATATATTATATAATGATATATAATATTATATATAATTTGCTGTTTGGGAATTCAAACAGGAATGGTTTCACCCCCATGGATATGGTGGGAGAGCAGAACTCAACCAAAGAATTGTGATGAATTCACCTTCATGAATTCATGAAGTTTTGAACTTCATTTTAAGGATATAATATAGTTAATGACATATAATATGTTATATAATGATATATAATATTATATATAATTTGCTGATAAATGTCCTGGGAATTCAAACAGGAATGGTTTCACCCCAATGAATATGGTGGGAGAGTGGAATTCACCCAACCAATTGTGAAGAATTCACCCTAAGGAGTCCATTAAGTTTTGAACTTCATTTTAGTATATACTATACTTAATGACATATAATATCTTATATAATGATATATAATATCATAAATAATAACAACAATAACAATTAATTAACTATTAATAACAACTGCAAGAACAACAACAACAACAAAACAACAACAAAAATAACTACTACTACTACTACTACTACTACTACTACTACTACTACTGCTAGTAATAAATTTTCTGTTTTCGGTGAAACCATTCCTGTTTGAATTCCCAGAAATCCCCAGGACATTTAACAGGAAATTATTATTATTGTTATGTTATGTGTTGATGTGATGTGATGTGATGTATGTTTGTTATGTTATGTTATGTTATGTTATGTTATGTTATGTTATGTTATGTTATGTTATGTTATGTTATGTTATACTATATTATAGATGTCATTAACTATATTATATCCTAAAATGAAGTTGGACTCGATGATCCTGAAGGTCTCTTCCAGCCCGGTGAACCTGGGATTCTCTAAATTCTGTGAATTGCTGTTGCACAGTGCCATCTAGTGCAGCCCACCCGGAGCATCCCTGGCTCCCGCCCTGCTCCCATCCTTCCTCCAAGCAGAGAGATTTTGGCTGGGAAAAGGAGGGAACAAGCAGGAATTGCTGTGCTCAGTGTCCCACTCTCCTCTGGCAGGGGGGATGGAACGCCGTGCCCCGCAGCATTTCTGTAATCCCGATTTCAGCTCTGACAAATTCAGGAGACCAAACTCACCGCTGGATGTGACGTCCGTGAGGTTTGGCTGGGCTGGCGGTGGTGCTGAGCTGGGAACTGCTGGGTTCTCTGGGAATGCAGAAGAGTTGGAAACTCCGGGATCATCTGGGGATGCAGAGGGGCTGGAAACTTCTGGATTCTCTGGGGATGCAGGAGAGTTGGAAATTTCTGGATTCTCTGGAGATGCAGAAGAGTTGGAAACTTCTGGGTTCTCTGGAGATGGAGAAGGGCTGGAAACTTCTGTATCTTTTGGGGATACAGAGGGGCTGGAAACTTCTGGATTCTTTAGGGAAGTAGAGGGGCTGGAAACTTCTGGATTATCAGGGGATGCAGAGGGGCTAGAAACTTCTGGATCTTTTGGGAATGCAGAAGAGTTGGAAACTTCTGGATTCTCTGGGGATGGAAAAGGGCTGGAAACTTCTGGATCTTTTGGGGATGTAGAGGGGTTGGAAACATCTGGATCTTTTGGGGATGCAGAAGAGTTGGAAACTTCTGGATTCTCTGGGGATGTAGAGGGGCTGGAAACATCTGGATTCTCTGGGGATACAGAGGAGCTGGAAACTACTGGTTTATCTGGGGATGCAGAGTAGCTGGAACCTTCTGGATTGTCTGCGGATTTAGAGGGGCTGGCATCTTCTGGATCTTTTGAGGATGCAGAAGGCTTGGAAACGTCTGGATTCTCTGGGGATGCAGAAGGGCTGGTACCTGCTGGTTTCTCTGGAGAACTGGAAACTGCTGGATTCTCTGAAGGGCTGGCAACTTCTGCATCCTCTGAAAGTCTGGTTTCTTGTTTGCAGCCTAAAGAAACCCCCCCAAAAAAGACAAAAATCGCAAGAGGCTTTGCCACTGAGCAGATCCTTGAGCAACTACCCTGCCCTGCTCCATGCTCTGGATTGTTTGGGTTTTCTGCCCTGCTCCATGCTCTGGATTATTTGTGTTTTCTGCCCTTCTCCATGCTCTGGATTATTTATTGGCTTTTCTGCCCTGCTCCATGCTTTGCATTGTTTGGGTTTTCTGCCCTGTTCCATGCTCTGGATTCTTTATTGGGTTTTCTGTCTCATCAAGGGTCTCACTTCCAGTCCCACCCTCACCTTTCCTGCCCTCAGAATATATTTGCTGCTCTGGAATGAGGAATAAATTTAAACACTCTGCAGTGGGGAGCTTGGGGCAGGTGCTGCTGCTCAGCTCTGCCACTGAGGAACAGCTCCAACCCCTTTTTTTTTGCCCCAGCTTGCTCATTTAAAAGCAGACCCCACATTTCTGTATTTCTGCATCATTTTCAGCACCTCAGGGCAGTGAAATCGGAGGGGCAGAGCTGGAGGAGCTGCAGTACCCGTGCTGGGGAGGTCCTGGAAGTGGAGAGATGCCACCAGCCTCCGTGCCCCGAGTGCAGGGTGCTGGGTGACACAGCTGGCTGTCACTTGGGGGCTGTAGCTGAGGATCCTCAGGGTGCTCCTGGTGCTCCATTTCTTCCCATCGGCTGCCAGCTGGTGCCTGGTGTCACCTGCACAAAAAAGAAAAAAAAATAAAATAAAATAAATGAAAGTGCTTCTATCACCCTGAAATGTCACACTGTAAAATGAAATAACTCACAGAGGCAGGCTAGATGTAAAAGGAAAGAAGAATAACCCAAAGAAGCCAACTTTATTTTCTGACTCCACTATATATACAATAGTAAAAGTGACAGTGGATTTGAGGATGGAATTGCCACCTCTCCAACCACACTGGTCAAACCCACAGTCCATCCATTCTCTCCTCTCACAAAGAAGACTGCAAAACAATCATTATTGACATGAACATATGTGAGAAAACTCAATTAAAATATGTAAATATCAGAAGGCATAGGAACTTTTAGAAGAACTTTAAAAGCCTCAGAAGAACAGGGCAACACTGAAATCCAGTTCTCCAGCGCTGCTACAGCACAAGTTTGACTTTTCCCCTTTTCCAGCTGCTGGAATTTTCCACCAGGATTCCCTGCCTTGCCACAGGGAATTAGGGCAGTCTGGTGGGATTCCCAGCATTACTAATAACCTCATTTCTCCAGGTAACGTTGATGATAAGGACAAATAAAGTCGTGTTTGATGTGAGCAGAGATGTGTCTGAGCAGCCCTGGAGGTGTTTCAGCTGTTTGCCTGAAGGGCACAAATATTTCTGTTCAGGATGCAGAGCTTTTGATGCTCCCCTTGCTCTGTTACCCTTAAATTAAAGAAATCCCCCATTTCTAAATTAACATTTCTCCATCAGCATCTCTCAACCCTCCCTTCCATCCCCAGCAGAGGCAGGTAGGAGCTCCAAAAGGATTTCAGAAATCATCTTTGTCAGCAGCAGCTCAGCGATTACAGCTGGCTTGCCCCTGCTGAGCCCTGCTGTTGTCAGTAATTAAGATTTATTAGCTATTTTCTGATTAGTGTCAATATTTGCAGGAAGTGATTAAAGCCGGGAGTGGAAGGGGGAGGAAGCAGAGTTACTCCAAGCTTTCAAAAAATGGAGAAAAACACAGAAATTGGAGAACTAGTGGATTAAGGCAATGATTTCTTATCTTTGAAACAATTAAATTTGTGTCTCCCACCTCTTCTTGCAAACGTGAAGAGAAAAACACTGCGAGAGACAGAAATAAAATATCAGGGGGGATATATTGAGGTTTTTATCACTTCCCAGCTGGTAATCCCAGGCCCTCACACACAGCCCAGCTCTTCCCAAGCACAGGCAGGATTTAAAAATCTGCTTTTCCACCATGCACTGCTCTAAAACACTTTTTTTTTTTTTCCATTGAAAACCCCCAGGTTTTATCTGCCAACATGATTTATTCTTATTATTAACTCTAATTTCAGGCCAGAAAACACAATTCTCTGCTGTTTTCTAGAGCTCTTATTTAAAAATAAACCATCATGGGCCAGGGGAGGTTACAGCTTCAGCTTTAAATATGTTGCTTGATGATGCAAAACACAAGTCAGAGTTTGGTGATGTGTGAAAGAAAAAAGCCATTTGCATCCCTGAGTGTTTTTCTCACATTTTGATACAGATGTGCACTGGAGCTGAGAATGCAGTGATTTGTAGAATAATTTTATTTATAGCACTGGTAGAATATGGCAGTTACTTGTTAAAGGAGAAGAAAGGCAGCTGGGGCTTTGAAAATCGTGATTTTGGGGTTGTTTTAGCCCAAATAAAGTGGAACAAGTGGAATTATCTCAAATAAGTAGAATTCAGTGCTGAGGTTCCAGGATTTGGGGTTTATTTTTATCCCAGTGGAATTTAATGCTGAAATTCCAGGGGTTTGGGTTTATTTTATTGCACTGGAATTTGGTGCTGAAATTCCAAGATTCTGGGTTCATTTAATCCCTGTAGAATTTATGGGGTTTTGAAATTCCAGGGGTTTGGGTTTATTTTATTCCACTGAAATTTAGAGCTGAAATTCCAAGGGGTTTTGGTTCATTTTATCCCAGTGGAATTCAGTGCTGAAATTCCAGGATTTTGGGTTTATTTTATCCCACTGGAATTCCGTGCTGACATTACAGTATTTTGGGTTTATTTAACACCAGAGGAATTCAGTGCTGAAATTCCAAGATTTTGGGTTTATTTAACCCCAGAGGAATTCCATGCTGAAATTCCAGGATTTTGGGTTTATTTAACACCAGAGGAATTCCATGATGAAATTCCAGGAGTTCGGGTTTATTTAACCCCAGAGGAATTCCATGATGAAATTCCAGGGGTTTGGGTTTATTTAACCCCAGAGGAATTCAGTGCTGAAATTCCAGGATTTTGGGTTTATTTAATCCCACTGGAATTCCATGGTGAAATTCCAAGATTTTGGGTTTGTTTAACCCCAGAGGAATTCCATGGTGAAATTCCAGGATTTTGGGTTTATTTTATACCACTGGAATTCCATGCTGAAATTCCAGGATATTGGGTTTATTTAACCCCAGAGGAATTCCGTGCTGAAATTCCAGGATTTTGGGTTTATTTTATCCCACTGGAATTCCATGGTGAAATTCCAGGATTTTGGGTTTATTTTATCCCACTGGAATTCCATGCTGACATTCCAGGATTTTGGGTTTATTTTATCCCACTGGAATTCCATGATGACATTCCAGGATTTTGGGTTTATTTTATCCCACTGGAATTCCATGCTGACATTCCAGGATTTTGGGTTTATTTTATCCCACTGGAATTTCATGGTGAAATTCCAGGATTTTGGGTTTATTTAAACCCACTGGAATTCCATGGTGAAATTCCAGGATTTTGGGTTTATTTAACCCCACTGGAATTCCATGCTGACATTCCAGGATTTTGGGTTTATTTTATCCCACTGGAATTCCATGCTGACATTCCAGGATTTTGGGTTTATTTTATCCCACTGGAATTCCATGCTGACTGCTCCCCAGACCTGCACCCCGTTGCAGCCGTGAGCTGCAGACCCAGCTGATATTTCACCCTGCAGCACCTTTAAACCCCCCAAACGGATAAAACCCAATTTCAGTGCCCAGAGGCTCTCGGAGCTCTCACCTGGGAGCTCGATCCCGTTGTCCAGCAGCCAGGAAATCTGGGGCTGGGGTCTGCCCCCATGGGTGTAGCAGGAGAGTTTGATGCCTCCTCCTTCATCCTGGGACACTTCCAGCACGGGGTGGGAAGGAGCAGCTGCAGCAGGAAGATTTAGGGTCAGTTTAGGGGCATTTTTTACTCCTTTCCATCAGCATTATTGGAGGGGACTGAGCTAAAAGCAAAATGATGGGAAAATTCAGGTGTGGATTTGAGGAGCTGGATCTGCCCTGCTCCTCTAAGGAAAAAAAAAACAAACAAAAAAACAGGTGAGGAACTTACCCAAAATCTCAACATTCCGGCTCTTGTTTTGGACGTGCCCCCTGTAGTAGAAGCAGCTGTAAATTCCTGCATCCTGCACTGTCAGGTTGGACAGCTGGATGGACAATTCATCCTTGGAATAACGGAGCAGTTTGTACCTCTGGTCTCTTAAAACTGCGAGGAACAGAAAAGCCAGCACACCACGGGGGTTGGTTCAGCACAGGAAGTCAAAGCATGAGGGGAGTTTTTATTTTATGGCATTTAAAAGTTTCATTTTTTTAAGTGAAAGCATCTCTTACTTATTGTAAATGCAGGTGAACCCAATGGGAAGAAATGCTGATGTCTGACTCAATTCAGAAGGCTGAATTATTTCTTTATTATAACTATGCTAAAATACATTAATATACTATATAAAAGGAAAATACTAAAATTACATATTATTTTTTCTGACTCTAACACAACTCGTGCCCCTCTCTGAGATTCCAGCCCCAGGTGGGTTGGGTTGGCCACCAGGCTCAAACAATCCTCACCAGAATCCAACCAAGCATCACCCCAGGGAAACAATTCTCCACACACATTCCACATGGGAAAAATAAGGAGCAGAAATAGAAATTGTTTTCTCTTTCATTTCTCTCTGTGCAGCTCTATGAAGAATCCTGAGAGGGAGAGAAATGTGCCTGCCATACCTACTCTCCTTTCTCTTTCTTGATTTTTTCATCTTTAATTTTTTCCCCCATAATTTACAGGAGCCCTCAGGGTCAGCCCAACAAGTTCATGAACTTTTCCCACAGTTGCAGCACAGAAAACGCAACTTTCTGCCCTTAAATTGAACTGAAACTGGGGCTTTGTACAATCATCAGAGGGGAAGAGACCTCAAAACTTCTCTTTTTATCTTCATTTTTTTTTTTTTAGCTGAGGTTTTGACAAAATACTGAGCTGGAGGGAAATCCCAGCAATTTGGGTGAATCCCAGTTATTCTTATAATTAAAAGCAAAAGGATTTGACAAGGAATGCTGAATAGCTGCAGAAGGGAAGGCCAAGGCACTCCTTGTCCTGCATTTGGACCAAGAGGAGGAGAGAGAAGGATGGGGAGATGGGAAAGCAGAAATGGCAACTTTGGCTTGGCCAGCACATTTCAGAATCATTGCTGTTTCCCCAAAATCTCCTCCTGACGCACTGCACGGAATTCCTGCGAGTGGGAGAGTGTCAGGGCTGTCAGGAATGTCCCCTCCTGTCCTCGGAGCCAGGAGCGGGCTCTGGGTGCTGTGGGAGCTCCAGCTCATCCTGAGAGTTCTGCTGCTGCCGGGGGCTCCATCCCTCAGGAAATGACCCACCAGCACTGCCAGCAAGGGGCTGCAGCTCCAAACCCCCAAGGGGAGGAGTTGATGCCTTAGGATCTCAGATTTTCTATTTTCCATCTATTTGTAATCCAGTCCTGCAGTTCTTTAGTGCAGAACTCCAAACTCCATATCCAGTCTTGCCAGTGTTCAAGAACACAAATAATCACAGGATGTGATTATCTGCAGGTGTTTTATTGGGAGCTCTGGGAATCAGGGGTCCAGACCCAAATCTGACTCTGACACGGCTTTCGAGCTGAACGTATTTTATATTCTATCCTTATATATCTTACATATTCATTATTAAACTTATATTGTTCTATTGTATACATTGACATGAGTTTCTCGTGATCTTTCTTAGGTCCCTGACCACACTTTCTCATGATTATTCTTATGATTAAACAGTAATTATATTTAATTACTAAACAATCATCACATCTATCAATTATATCATTTATCATGTACCAGCTACACAGGTGCAGTTCTAGCAAGGTACAAGGCCTACATGTACCCAGGGTATTTATTTTTTCAGGGCCTACTAAGCTTAATTTTCCTTTTAACCCTAAATCCCCATGATTTTAAAACCCTTTTACTATCAGTCTGAGCTGCTGCTTCCCCATTTGGGCAGACACAACAATTCTTCTCCAGGCCTGGCAATCAAGGACACCTCACTGCCTCAGGCCAGAGATGGAAACAAAAGTGAGTTTGTGGCAGCAAATTTGGGGTAAATGACTTCATTAACTGAAGCTGTAATTGGCAGATTAACCCCCAATATGCAAATGAACCAAGCTTATAAAAGTGTGAAAACTTGTGACCTGTTGTCCTTTTTTGGGTGGGTTTTGTCTGCCCTAAATGTACCTTAAGGCCCTTCAATAAATAGAACTGCTTTTTATTCCCTTGATTTTGTCTGACCTCTTCTTGGAAGCATCAATTTCTGGTGACCAGGAAGGGACAGGATCCTCTGGACCCAGCTACAAACTCCCCCAACCCTGCTGGCATTTTGGGCTTCAGAGTCCCCCTGGCCAGGGTGGCAGCATAAAATAAAAATGTGGTGGACTCCAATTCAGGGAAGAAATGGTGATGTTTGGTTCTAGATCAGAAGGCTAAGGATAGCTTTATTAAAACTATACTATATTACATTAATATACTATTTAAAGAGATATTATTTTATTCTATATATTAATTTCTTACTTATCTAACTCAAACTACTCGTGACTCTGCTGAGAGCACAGCTGGATCCCACTGGTCACTGACCCCAAACAACTTCCCCAGAATCCAACCCAGGTGGACAATCTCCACACCACATTCCACATGGGGAAATGTGGGAACACAGGGCTTCCCTCTGGCTGCCCTGGCAGGTCTGGAACCCCCCTGGACAGAGCCCCCAGAGACACTGGTTGTGATCTCTGCCCATGGAAAAGAGTTTTCAATCTTACAGGATCAATTACCAGCTCTGAGTGTTTGATATCAGTAATAATTAAGTGTGGCACAGGTGCAAAAGTAAAATTTTAGGATTCTAGATGAGGGGTCCAAAGGGGACAAGCTGGAGGAAATTGGGTGTGCCTTGTCCTTTTTCTCCTTCTTCATGCCCTCCATGTCTCACTGTGGTGTTGGCATTTTTCTGTTGGTTCAGGCTGGGGACACACTGTCCAACGTAGGTGACAGATATTGGCACGTTCTTGTAAATGCAGCCCAGGGAGTTTCTGGTATTGAATGTTTGTCACATCCCACTGAGGGCAGAGCCCCACACGCTGCCCTGCAGGACAGAGCTGGGCAGGGCAGCAGAACATGTGAGAGATAAACAGAATAAACAACCTGGAAACCAGCACAGACCAATTATGGCTTCTGCTTTGGCAGGGGGCTGACAGACAGAGACTTTCTACAATCTCAGAATCATCAATACCTCAGATTCCGACAGGGAAAATCAAGGAGCAGAGATAAAGATTGTTTCCTTTTCTTCTCCCTGACAGACAGAATTTTCTGTCTGTCTGCCCAGAAAATGTGAGTGTCACAGCAGCAGGGACAGCTCAGAGTCCCCAGCCCTGGTGGGAAGTGTCACCACGCTGGAGTTTCACACTTACCCTGGTGGGTGTTGAGGAAAATGGTGAAACCCTGAGGGTTTGACCACTGCAGGGTGAAGTTTTTGTTGCTGGGGGTGCTGAAGCTGCAGTGAAGATTTAGATTTTCTCCTTCCCTCAGAGTCACAGAGTCACTGGCAGCCCCTGGAAACCCCCCTGCCACGCACCAGGGGGAAAAAAACAAGTGGGAAATTGTGACACGAAGCAAAGCAGTGATATTTTGAACAGAGAAATGTGTTAATTTTCCTTTTTTGCAATGGTTATTGAATATTTCTACATTGCCAATGTGGTTGTAGAGGTAAAAATAAATTGTCATTGGACAGATCATCACAGGCATGTGTGACAAAGGTTTGGGATCTTTACCCACCAGCACAACCTGAATTAAATTAGTAACCAATTTTAGTTGTTAGCCAAGAAAATATTTCATTATTAGAAAGTATTTCAATAAAGAACTGAAGCAGACTTATTTCATGCATTCTCTGTATTTAAACACAACCATTCCATTTTCACAGGCACTGTGTGACAAAGGTTTTGGATCTTTACCCACCAGCACAACCTGATTTAAATTATTAACCAGTTTTAGTTGTTAGCCAGGAAAATATTTCATTATTAGAAAGTAATTAATTATGTTTATTATTAGTTCAATAAAGCACTGAAGCAGACTCATTTCATGCACTCCCTGTATTTAAAAACGAAAATTCAATTTTCACTTATTCTATTATTATAACTAAATAATATTTAAGGTCCCTTCCAACCCAAAACATTCTCTGACTTTATGTCCCATTCTGGTGCTGTGGAACCTGATTTGCTCAGTGTGTGACTGAGCAGAGGATGATTTCCCAGCACCTCTAAAAATGAAGTTTTTTTAACTCAGAAATGAAACTTCTTTAAAAAAAAAAACAACCCAAACCTGGCTTGGCACAGGGTACTCAAATGAAATTTCACTCTCTCTTCTCCCAGCTCATTTCACAGGTGGGCAATAAAATGTGTTTTTTCTCTCCAGCCATTCTAAGGCAGATAAAACACTTGGTGGAAATATTTGATGAATTGTCTTCTCCAAAAACCATGCCCTGGAGAATGCCAACATTGGTGCCTGGCTTGGAATAAAGTAAATCGGCAGCAGGAGAGTTTTGTTTTCATTCCTCTTTTGTGTGTTTTGATTTGATTTTCCACATGGCTGTCAGCCGCCAGTTCCCACTGCAGTTTGGGGAAACAAATCTTTCTGGGCTTTGGGGAAGATTTTCACAATTTTAAAAATTCTAAATTGCCCAGAAATGAATTGTTTTTTTGTCAGGAATTTTGCTGGAGCTGATTTTGGTACATCTAGAATCAGCCTTTGTCACTATAGGACACGTGAAAGCACAACGGGAGCCACCTGCTATTTGCAAGGTAAAGAAGAAGGTTTATTATCTGACTCCAACTTTTATACTTTTCCAAAGGTGACAGTGGATTGGAGAGTGAATGGGCCACCTCTCCAAAGACATTGGACAAACCACCAGTACATCAAGTTTCTCCACCCCCATAAAAGAATGCAAACCAATATGTTGTTTACAGAAATTGTGTGGGAAAGTCTTCTAAACTCTTTAGAAAACCTTAAGAATCAGGGTGACAAGCCTTGTCCCCCTGCAAGGCAGCAGCTGCCCGTGGGGATTGTGGCTGTGCCCGTCCTTGAGCTGTGAGCTGAGAGTTGTTCAGAGCCACCCGGGGCTTGTGTGTGGTTTTCCACAGCCCCCTCGGGTATTTCTGTCCCCGTGATGATTTCCTGTCACCAGCAGCAGCGTGGGGTCTGGCAGATCACACCTCTGGGGTGACTGTGGCGAGGCTGAGCAAGAACAGCTTGGGGGTGTGCTCACTTTTCCAACCCCGGGGCAGAAAGGTAATTTCCATGGGAGACCACTGGAAAATGGGTTTTATTCAGAGCATGGCTCACAGGGCAGCTCTTCCCTGCACGGGGCCGTGCTCTGCAGCCACTGCGGTCACCAAAGGTGGCAGATGTCCCCATGGCAGCTCCAGGTGGGGTGGCTTTTGTCCCATGTGGATCCCAGCTGGAAAAGCCACTCTGCCATCAAGTGACAGGCAAGAAAGGGCAGCAATTTGGTGCTGGAGATTGCAGGGTGCACTGAGCAGAGCGGTTCTACTCTGGTTGCTATTCTTGGAGCCCCCAGGAAGTGACTGAGAGCTCCTCGCACTGAGAGCACGGGTGCAGAGCTGCCTGTGAGCCTGTAACCCACAGCAAGCAATTTATTGAGTTATTTTGGTGCAGAGCTGTCCGTGAGCCTGTAACCCACAGCCACTAGAATTCAATTAT